TATATATTTGTTTGTGACCTTTTATTATGTTTATAATAGCACATGCTGTGAGGGAAATGTGTTTTGTTTCCGTTTACTTAAATAATTTTAAATTACATCAGTTTTTTGTTTGTTTGTTTTTTTATTCAAAAATACTCTAAAGAAGAATGTATGCATTTTGTATTCACGTGTTGATGTCATTCATCTATCTTACTCAGTGCGGTGTGGTCAGGATATTTTATCATAAATAAATACAGTGACAACTGATGTAGAATTCAGTGGGTCATGCTGAGCCTGTGCCACTTTGTTAGGTACACCTGTAAGTGCAAATATGCCATGGCATTTGAGTGTGTAGACATGGCCTGTATGACCTGCAGAAGTTCAAACTGAGCAGAATGGAGAAGAAAGATGATTTAAGGGACTTGAACATTTGCATGGTTGCTGGTGCCGGAGAGGCTAGTCTGGTTATTTCAGAAGCTGCTGATCTACTCATGGGCAGATGTCATGGATACCCAACTTTGTGAACACGATAACTCGAGAACGTAGTGATGGTACTTTCAGATTGGTACAATATGTGGGTCTACCAAAAATCTTGGACAAGTTTGAATATTAGTGACCTCAGCTTCAATGATCTCTGCTGTGACATTCAGGTGATAGTGTCAGAATAAACAACATGAAAGCACGTATCCACGATGCCGTGGATCAGCACTTCAGGCTGCTGGTGGTGTAATGGTGTAAGGGATATTTTCTTGGCACACTTTAGGCCCATTAGGCCCAATGGAGCATTGTTTAAATGCCACAGTCTGATTATTGTCGCTGACCATGCCCATCCATTTATGACCACAGAGCCATCTTCTGATTCCTGCTTACAGCAGGATAGTGCATCATGTCATTGAACATGACAATGAGTTCACAGTTGCTCAAATGGCCTCCTCCACATTCACCAGGTCTGAAGTCAATAGAGCACCTTTGGGATGTTGTGGACCAGGAGAGTTTCATCATGTGCAGCTGACAATTCTGCAAAAACTGTGTGATGCTGTCACATCAATATAGACCAAAATATCTGAGAAATGTTTCCAGCACCTTGTTGAATCGATGCCTTACGGAATTAAGGCAGTCCTGAACTCAAAAGGGGACCCAACCCAGTACCAAAGAAGTGTACCTAATAAAGTGGCCAGTTTGTGTGGATGATATTATTTGAACTGCATAAGAGGTTAAATGTTGGTTTGTGATGAACAATTTTTAAGTAAATTAATTGATAGTAGTTATACTTAAAGTGCTCATGATGCACATGCAGAAGTGCCCTGTTCACCGTCATATACACTGTCTCATTCATGCATAAGCATTGTGGGGCCAGTGCAACCCTATGCTTCCTGCTTGGTTGTTAACCACTAAGACTTGTAACACAGTACTTTCTGGTGCAAATTACAGTGGGAGCTGTAATTTTTACACTTCACAAAACCACCAGGTGGATCGTATTGGACCATTCCACGGGCCAGTTCGGGCCTCTAGACCACATGTTTGACACCCTTGTTGCAGCAAATCATAATATTCTTTCCATTGTGGTTGCAGGAACCACTAGACTAAAGAGCTGAGACTTCCTGTTTAAAGGGCCAGATAAATGTAAAAACTAAAACCTGTTTTAGTTTAAAAATCTTTAATATAATAACCAATAAAAATCTTACATTTATTTTTGTAATACTGTGTTTCGCCGTATTTCAGTCTTGAAAATTAAAAATGCCCCCAAGTCCTTAATAATGGCGCTATCAGTGTTAACATAAATAGAATATCATATCCAAAGTAACATAAATAGGATTACATGTTGAGATATTTTACAGCATTTATAGTTGTACAATTACAGTGGTTTCAAAGTTTTAAAAAAATATGGAAAATATATATAAATACACTGAAAAGATACAAAAACAAATTGAAAAAAAAGACAGACCATATTTTCTAAACTTATTGTTTGGATTGAGAAATTTATGAAGTTAAAATGACCTTAAATAACTGCTTTTGTGGGTTTGACTGGGTGTCAAAATGGAAAATAAAGACTTTCTTCTGAGCTGATTAGAGAGGAAGAGGAGAAAAAGGGACTAAAAGCTGGCATACACCAGTGTGCAGGACTCATTCCTAATAACAAAGTGTTTCGGGATAAAAATTATTTTGTTTTTCTCCACTTTGAGAATATAATTGAACCCACTGAGGCTGATTCCTCAGACACTCACCTAACCAAATTTATTGCTTCTTTAATCAGCCCTGGAGCTTTTAGCTATAATTGGAAAAGAGTATTTTTCTAGTGATCAGTCAGTCTTTTAAAATTCTAAACTTGCATTAATAACACGATGTGCCACTGGTGGATGCCGAAAATGTGCCTCTCTATGCTTACATAGATATTCTTTTCAAGAAAAAAATCATAACTGATTTATGGTTAATCAATCCAATAATCAATAGCTGTCATTTACAATACTTAGAATCAGTTTCATGTTAGGATGAAAACAAATGGGGTTTCCCTTAAAAAGCAAACAGCATTTTTAAATGGCCGCGTGTTGTGAGGGTTAACGTGAAAGGACATCAAACCAATAAAGTTTTAATGTGTTCAGCAGAGGGCGCATGGACACTAAAGTTTCACCTGATTGTTAAACAGCCTTGTAATAGTGATGTCCTTCTCTCTGCTGGCGCACAGTCACATAAGAGGTGCTGTGTTCGGTCCCTTTACGCTCCGTCTGGTGTGCCTTCATCGTAATCTCACACAGGGCCTGAAGCTTCAGCCTCCTCGTTGCATTTAACAGCTCAGACCACCCTTCTGTTTAGTGTTTGTAGACAGGGGCATGCCGTTCTTGTCAACGCACCAACACTTTCCTCGCCGCCCACCTCGAGATGACCAACACTGCCGCAAACACAACAGACATAGTAAAGAGTTAAATGCAAAGATGTCTGGTCTCTATAGAGTCAATGTGAGATCAGCCCTTTTTCCTATAAATCATCTAATTTGGAGACTCACCTGCTTCTTTCTGAAGAAACCACGCTTGTCACAGTTGGGCATGTAGATATCATGGTTTGACGTAAATAAATGGGCATTAAGACCTTCGATGATTGTCGTTAGCAGCTGACGGCATGGAGCCTGAGGGAAGGAACAGAGTTAACCAGATATATGTAGTGCCTACCTTAATTCACTGTCAGGAATGTGCTCTTTTTGTTTTGTTTTGTTTTTTAAACATAGATATACAGTACAGGATGAGTGTTTTTACCTCATCTGGATCCTCAGTAGGTGTACTTTCTAGTGTATGAAAGCAAATAAAAACAAACAAGAACATCAGTTTTTAAAATTTTAGCGTTTATGCCATTAAATTGAGGAAGATTTCACACATTTTGAGATCTTTTGCTTGGTAACACACGTTGATTTCTCTAGTCATATTCCAATTTCCATTATAACATGATAATAACCTGAAAAGCAGTGAGTTAAAAGCATTTAACTTTCGAGATAAATGTGATATTTAAGATTGTATCTCAGCCAACAATAGCAAAATAATAATATAAGTATTCAATTACTCCTAAATCCATAATGTTTCTCTCTCACTGATTAAATCATAGCTTCTCCCAGGTACAAAAAGTAAGCTGAAACTTACCAGCAACGTGGACCGGTTTAGTCGGGCTGGTGCTACTGGCATTACTGCAGACTCCTCTGCCTTCCAGCAGGGCACGCAGGGGCTTTGGCTCATTGTCTGGAGGTGCACAACGCAGACCGTGGGCGCAGCTCAGAGTGTAGACGCCACACGGCTCTCCAAGAGCCAAAGTTGTGGCATTTACCTCTACAGACGGCTGCCTCTGTGAGTGCTTTCCTCTGCAGGTAGGACATCCTCTGGACGGTGTGGTCAGTGGGCTTGAACAAGCCAACTGCAGGAGGAGCAGCACCAGGATGTTTAAACACAGCAACATCTTACACTAAAAGCTGTCTGCTAATAAATGGTTCCAGTGCAGCCTCGTAGCAGTAATAAACGGTTCCAAGATTCCCTTTTCTAACTCTGTTCCCAGTTTTGGATAATTTGCTCCAGCTGAGAGCAGCAAGTGATAATGCAGCTGACAGACGCCACTGGCAGCAGCTTTTAAAGAGGAAAGGTATGGGAGGGATACGTGATGGAGAATGTTAGCTTTCCTCTCATTTCCACACAGCTGAGCACACCCCATTTGACTTGTCTCTGACACATACACGTGCTCATGCACGCTCATGCCATTTGTTGCCTGTCATGCCACTGGATAGCTATGTTTTCTACATTGACATAAATCACAAGTGATGCTGCGTTTGCTACACCATTGCTCTGCCTTTTCCCCACTTAGAGGATCATTTATCATCGTCATATTTTTACGGAGGTGCTGCTTTATTATGGCCAGTCAATCATGGTAGGGCTAAAAGATGAAAAAGACACTTTATTTTCTGCAGCATAAATTTAGTTTTATTACACCACGGTTTTCAATGGCATTCAAATCTCTAGAAGAATTTAATATTAAAATGATTTGAATATAAAAAAAAATAATAAAAATAAGTAAAAATAGTTTAAAACAAGGAATAAATCTGGCTTTATAGTCTCATAAAACACTCCAAATAAGTTTTTCTGTGTTAACAGTAAAAGCATTTTGGCACTCCAACACCTCCAACCTTTTTATTGATATTGTCACTGCTTTTTTTTTTTTTTTAAACGCTATCCGCTAAATCGACAGTGTGTTCTCAGAGTGTGTTTACAGATTCTCAGGGCTGAAGCTGACACTGATTGACACCGGGAGGTTGAAGGAGTGCCGCTGAAGATGACTAAGACATCAATAGCCACAAGCTAAAAGTCCCGCCCTGTAAATTCCGCATTTGTGAATCACAAACACATGAAATTAAAGGACAGGATCAAAGTATTTTGCCATAAAATTGATACGTTTAATATCTCATGGTTGCTAGGACTTGTAGGTTTCTGCTTTCATTTTCCCCACCAGAAGCAAACTTACTCTTAAGTTCGGTGTTTATGTCAATTTTTTTCCATGCCGGTTTATACAACTGTAAACCAGCTCGCAAACTGAGGTTCAACTTCATAAGAAGCTGTGAGGGGGATGCAGTATTTTGCTGGACATTTCAAAATCAAGAAAATAATCCAAAAAAGAGATCAATAAGGTACTTTCAGCTGCTCCCTTATTTCCCAAAGGGTTGCCAAAGGGGATGGATCCACATGTTTGATTTGGCATGGATTTTATGCCAGAGGAACTTCCTAATACAACCCTCATATTTATCCAGCCTTGGGACTACTTGGGACTTTATGTGAGCACTAGGAGCTTCTGAACCCCTGAGGTTCGAATGGATTGGGAATCTTGGTGAATGTGTTGACTACACTACAGAGCCACTAATCCACTAGATTAAAATATTCAAATATCTGTTACAAAGTGAAAATGAAATATGTAAAACTAAACACATAAAAATGTAATTGAATACTTAAAATTAAGAATTACCAGGGTCCCGGACACTCTTAGGTACACTCCCAATAGGGCTTAAAAATCTGGCATTATCCACCAATTGCTCTTAAATCTGAAGAAGCTTCTCAGATGAGAAGTTTCAAGAAA